AGTACTTTCAAGAATAGAAAATCTCAAAATTGATATCACCCCAAAGACCAGAAGCAATAGTATCAGGTTATGGCAGCATTTTCAAGTGTTTTTGAGCAATTGTGTGCAAATGAGAACTTCACTCGAGGACCACCATACCAATTTTCTTTTTCTGGCATGTAACCTTGTACAAGCCTTCAGCGCGATCCAGTTTAGTTTTTTCCTGATCAATCCTACAGCCCAATGGTATCTGTAATTTGAAATCTCCAGTAGGAATTTTCTCTTGTTTGATAGTTGGATGAAGTGGATCATTTAATAATTCTTTCAAATCAGCCCGACTACCTTTAACAATGATCGATTCTTCACCTATTTCGATGCGTGCACTGCCTTGTTTGAAACCTGCAAGCTCAATGAAAATAACAATTTCATCAGGACCTTCGTACAAATTGAAATTAGGCTGCCATTCATCATTAGTCATGGAATTAATACCTTGGAAATAACCTGCATCATCGTAGAGAATTTTTTGTGACAACTCAAATTTATAAGGGTTATTCGTAAGATCTTCCATATTTTTTCGGTGAGATAGAACGATATATGGTTTCTTAGCATGTTTTTCTATCTTAAATTGTTCAACAGGCTCTTCCAAATTATTCTTCTTCTTATAATTGCTCGCAACTAATTGTGGAAGTCTTGTGTTAACGAAGTTTATTGTCTCATTGAGAACATCGAGACTTCGTCTCGATGTAGTAGCTTCTGAAAAGCTATTGATTATACCAATAGTTGTTTGCTGGTTCCATATTTTCGCTGCAGGAGAGCCGTCTTTTGCAAAAATAAAATGACGAATTTCTTTACCATTTTTTTTGGAACTATAATACTTAACATTCGTAGAATTTTTGCCGCGTCCCACATTAAATGTGTCAGCTTTCGCGCCAAAAATCAATTCAATTTCGCTTTTAATGATCTTCTCCGCATCTTCCACTGTTATGACATCCATCAAGTTATGAACGATAAAAACACGTTTATTAGAATCCAATTCTTCAGAATGATTTAAAACTCCTCGAATATACGATTGATCTGATCCACGTAAGCGATTCACTACAATGATAATAAACGAACATAAATGAAGGGCGATTTCTTTTAGAAGGGCTTCAGTCGCTTTTCTATCGTCGAGTTTATCTGTGGGTATGGCTGTATCGCTGCCAGCAGTATCGATAAAAATTGTATGCTCTGCATCTTTTCTTCCTGCTGTTATTGATAAACCTTCTGTATGTACTAAATTGCCATTAGGAAGCCGCGTATTACAAAGCAAATTCAACAAGAAAGTCTTTCCACGATTATATGAACCAAGAACAGCAATAACGACCCCACGACTATCTCCCATATTAGGATTTTGTGATGTAGCATCGTCTACATTCTGACCAAGTACAATCTCCCAGCCAGTTGTTGAGAGTTCTTCGAGGCTATTGATCCGAACAATCACGTCGTATGGCGTAGGATCTGGACTTTTTCGAAACATCCCCCATACAAGCTTACCACCAACAAGAGCTCCTGCTCCAACTAAAAGAACCGGGAGTGCCGCCATATACTAAATCTACAATAAAAGCATAGCGAAGAACATCGTTACGCGGAACGATAACCCACGATTAATTGGGAAGGGAAGAGTAGAAGCAGAGACTAAAAGTGCTCCGTGTGCGTACAAGCGTCATCAAAGACATATTTCTCAATCTCTGGTGTGGGTGAATGAACAGAATGATTACATCCAAGTCCACGACCACGCCGGGTGTGGGTGGCTGGGTGCGGGTGTTTGTGTGGGTGTGGGATGGGGCGGGTGGCTGGGTGCGGGTGTGGATGTGGGTGTGTGGGTGTGCGTGTTTGTATCCTGAGAGAAGACCTTCACGTCACATCCTCACCCATACCCACACCCACACCCACATCCAACCCACGATATGATAAATTGTTATGCGGACCAGCGCTCTGATAATTGAGGTGTCAAAACACGACTAACACATCATTTATCCTCTGAATGATATTTCAAAACATCGAAATATTTACCGTCGACACGATGTGTACGACGCACCTAAATATGGCCACTGCTGTTTCTGACCACGTGAAGATGTTGATGTTTGTTCTCCTCTTTCGAAGGTGAATAAATTTGGGAAAGAATAGAAAGGAGTATATATTACTATACGATAAAGATTTTTACTTCCTTTCACTTTCAATGTGTTGAATATCATTCAGAAAAATAAATGATATGTTAGTCGTGTTTTCATAGCTCCATGGTTAAGCCACTGGTGCCGATAACCAGTTACTGTATCATGAGTTCCATTTCCGAACGAAGCATATCATTTATCTTTCTAAATGACATTCAAAACATCGAAAGTGAAGGGAGCTAAGGGAACATTTCAAAATGTTTGCTGGTCGGCCGGCCGCTCTGCCGTTCTCATGCCGCAGCATGACGGCACAAAACATTTTTTGGTTTAATTACATTTTGAAAGATTAATTGTATCCTTTGATGTA